TGAGAATCAAAGCTGGTTGAAAGGTTTGATTTGAAAGTCACATAATCTCTTAATACCCTTCTATATCTTGCTAGTGAATTCTGGATTAGTCTCTTTGCGTTTCTGGTATGTTCTTTGTCTCCCTAATTTCAGATTTTGTATCTCTTGATTTGTCTGGTTTGTTTACATATTTTTTTCTATTTCTGGTTTCTTTTTAGATTTTCTAATTTGGTTAACAGGAGATGAGGAGGAAACTTGCAGATTTATAAATTTTTCTTTTGCAGGTTTTCTATGTGAGTCGTATGTTTTTTTGTTGTTGAAAATTTGCAGGTTATCGATGGTCTTTTTTATGCTCATTTTACAAGTTTTCAATGGAAATATGGACCAATGGTAAAATTTCTCTTCCACCTAATTTTTTATGTTTATAATCTTAGCTTTTTTTTTTTTTTTTTTTTTCTCTCTCTATCATTTTGATTTATTTACAGGGATGATGGAGGAGACTTCGGTTGTGCATCATTTGTATGTTTGGATGAGGAATGCTTGGATTAGGAGTATGTAGGTCTTGTTAGGAATTATGTTTGTTGTAGAATAAAGATTGGTTAACTATGTAATAACTATTGAATCTTTAAGTTTTATGAAAGACTAAACAACTTACGAATGATGTGAGGCTGCCTCAAAGCAATCACAAAAGCTAAGCCTTTCTACCCAATTACCATTTGTTGGTTCAATTAAATCCCGCAACACATTTCGGAAGTCCTTGAAATCTTGCTTCTTGAAGGAATCCTGCATGGGCGATTCCATATCCAACCTCTTCTGAATATTCAATATTTTCAGCTTTCCATTACAAAACACATATGAATCCTTATGTGCCAAGCCGCCATGATATGTAAGTTTAAAGGGAGCATTATCAACATCGATATTTCCGATATTATCGATATTATACGATATGTGTATAAATACGTTCCGAAATATCTGTTAACTGAAAAAACGATAATACCCTCAATATTTTGCCGATATTATCGATATTTTAGACTATGATCACAACAATACCAATACATAATATATATTGTACAATTATGACATAATTGTATAATGTTCCCTTTAATCAAGCAATCATGCTTTTACAGAGAAAAAAAATAAAATCAAGCGAGCAAGCATGCGCTTCAGTTTTCTTCTTCATACTTATGCAAAGATATGTTTCTCTCATCACTGCACTTCCACTTGACATGTATCGTAATGATAATCGACTCGTCTCATTGTGACCTTCTCTTGAATTCTCCAATATTGGGTTATTTACATCGAGGGATGGAAAAAATATGGGTTGAGGTGTCGTCCAATGCACTCTTCATAGCAGAGTCAGAGTCATGATAAAGGTGAAATATGTAAGCCATTCTGTCCTTGGCTGATTTCAAAAAAGATGTCTTTTAAGTTTTGCGACATAGGTAGAATACCTGAGAGACGAGATAAAACTTAAAAACTAAATTTCAAAAATCAAAACTTGAAATAACAAATTAATTGTAAAACTAAACAACTTATGAATGGTGTGAGGCTGCCTCGAAGCAATCACAAAAGCTAAGCCTTTCTACCCAATTACCATTTGTTGGTTCAATTAAATCCCGCAACACATTTCGGAAGTCATTGAAATCTTGCTTCTTGAAGGAATCCTGCATGGGCGATTCCATATCCAACCTCTTCTGAATATTCAATATTTTCAGCTTTCCATTACAAAACACATATGAATCTTTATGTGCCAAGCCTCCATGATAGAGATTATGATCATGAATATTGTTAATGGTATCCAACAGTTGACTGTTCATAAAATAATAAAATTCATCAATCAAACACGAAAATGTAACAATATTTAAACTCACCTAATGGAATCTCACCAGTAGGTGCTCAAACAATCTTGATTAACATTAAAAACTATCTTCTGATCATCGGTAATATTTTTACTTTTCACAGCATCAAACCATTTCGATAGTGAAGTGTCATACTTGGGATAACACATAGCCCAAAATTCGGATTGCAACATACCCTACATGGCAGAAAGATCCCAAAATCCTGCTTACAAAAGGAAAAGGTAAATGGAGATAGAATGTTTGTATTTGGCACTCAAAATAACAAAGAGTAAAGGAATCACCTCATACCATAGGTGGCTGCAAGCATCCAACGACCATCACTCCCTCATGTAATTTCTCATATCTTCTCATCCTTGAAATCTATCATCTCCCTTGTATCATAACCTCATCACCATCATTTCCTCTCAAGCAAACTTAAGATTCTTGTTTTATGGAGATAGATGCTTCAACACTTTGGACTTGCATCATTGCTCTCATTTTCTTTAAAGAAACTCTTGCAAAGTAGAAAAGGATGCATAAGTAGCAAGCAAACTCATTAATCAAGCATTTGACAATTTCACATGGCATAATACCAATTCACATAGCATATACTATGTCCACACTTCAAGCTCATAAAGAAATGAATGAGGACAATGCTCAATGCTAAAACATGCCAAGCAAAACTTATACACAAGCTTTCCAAGCATTCTACCTGCATCCCACCTTTGGAAAATCACTTGAAATCAAGTGTACAACCAACAAATATCAACTTTCCATATTATAACTAGAAATATCTTCATGTTCCCAAAATTTCGTTGCACTCTAGGGAAACATGTCAAACAGATTCCCAAAAATAGGCAATGCAGCAGAAAACTGCACCATTCCAGCAACTTAAATCTTAATTTGAAATTGCACCAAAATTTCAATTTAGCTTCAAATGACACAAGACTAATTCCAACATAACCATTGAGAAGTCTAATTTCATGTGTCAAAATATCCAGTTCAAATTATATAAAAAAATATATCTTGAAAGTACAAAGAACACAGCCCACAAGCTACCTTGAAATATTTTCACAAACACTTGGTATGCATTACGTAAGTGAGCTTGTATGAGTTTTTTTCATCACCTTGCTTTACCTTAAATCAAAAGATCAACCTCAGCAATCAGTATCTAACTCATAAATTCTGAGAGTACAAAGTAATTCAAGCTTCAAGCATAGAAAACAAACATGCAACAAAGGCATCAACATCAATTCATGAACGTACTTTAGAAAAATGAAGGCAGTGAACACTGCAATGGTTGGATGATTCTTAATTTTGGATATGTTATAAACAACACAATTTCGAGCAACTTTCATGATGGAATAACAAGAATTTGAGCATCAGAAATTAAAAACAAGTGTAGAAACCAAATCTACAAAAAGTCACCAGCCATGGATGAGCGCAAAAGTTGTAGACCAAGTTTGAGGCGCTAAAAAAATTCAAAACAAAAACTCAAATTTTTATAGGATAGTGCTAGAGCAGCTAAACAACTTTCATGAAGGAAGTTTTCTTATTTGAGATTCTGAAATATGATTTTTGTACTGATGAATAGTACCTAAGCGTTCAGACTATGAAGATGGAGAGAGGAGAAGAAGAAGAAAGAATAAAGAAGAAGAAACGGGTACGAGTTGAAGAAAGAAGGGAAAAAAAAACCAAAGTGGGATCACCCCAGCCAAAAGAAGATAAAAAAATCTAATTTTTCTGCCAAACCAGTCAAGTAAAATCACACAGTGCAAAAGATAAATGAATTCTTCAAGGAGGCAACACACCCAAGTCTCTTATGCTTTTTCAAGCTTGTCTCTCCTTCAACATATACAAGCATTTGTGAATATTTCCACACCAAATATATACATGCAAAAAAATATATATCAGTCAGGCAAAATTATGCCATGCAAAAGAAAAAAGACGTTATTTTATGAACAAGTCAAAAGCAAAACATATGCTCTGCTCAACGATTAATGCCAACTAGACTTAATAGAATAATTGTAAATTTAAGCAAAATCAATGACATAATAGTAAAATCAAGGAAAATCAATGGCATATAATTGTGTAAATTCAAGCAAAAGTAACGGCGTAATCGTTAATTCAAGCAAAATTGAGGGCATTACTGTAAATTCAAGCAAAATCAATAGCATAATCGTAAATTTAAAAAAAATCAATGATATAATCTTAAATTCAAGCAAAATCGATGACATAATCGTAAATTCAAGCAAATTGATGGCTTCACTATAAATTCAAGCATAATCGATGGCATAATCATAAATTGTAGCATAATCGTAAATTCAATCAAAATCAATGGCATCATTGTAAATTCAAGCAAAATCGATGCATAATCGTAAATTGAAGCAAAATCGATGGCATAATCGTTAATTGAAGCAAAATCAATGGCATCACTGTAAATTCAAGAAAATTCAATGCATAATCGTAAATTCAAGCAAAATCGATGGCATCACTGAAAATTCTAGCAAAAGCGATGACATCACTGTAAATTCTAGCAAAATTGATGGCATAATCGTGAATTCAAGCAAAAGTAATGGCATAATCGTTAATGCAAGCAAAATTGATGGCTTTATTGTAAATTCAAGAAAAATCAATGACATAATCATAAATTCAAGAAACAACGATGGCATAATCGTAAATTCAAGAAAAATCGATGGCATAATCTTAAATTCAAGCAAATCGATGGCATCACTGTGAATTCAAACATAATTGATGGCATAATCATATATTGAAGCAAAATTGATGGCATAATCATAAATTCAAGCAAAATCAATGACATAATCGTAAATTCAAGAAACATCTATGGCATCACTATAAATTCAAGCAAAATTGATGGCATAATCATAAATTCAAGCAAAATCGATGGCATCACTGTAAATTCAAGCAAAATCAATGGGATAAGCATAAATTCAAGCAATCCTTGACACGTGAATGTCTTTGTATTTTTTTTTTTTTTTTTTGGTCAATGTCTTTGTATTTTTCTTGCAGAGACATTTTTGTCATAATTTTTTTTTGGTGACACCAAAGGCTACAACTTCCCTTGGTATAGTAAGTAAACATGCAACCATGGCATGAACGCATCCTTACTTCATTTGAAGTAATAATAAAAAAAGAAATAACGGTTTTAGCATTTGTGCGTGGGTTGGGCCTTTTTAGCCTACGCTTCGCAAAAACACACAGAAAGAATAAGAAAAAACAAAAACAAAAATACGAGTCTTTCTTTGGCGACTGCAAACAAAGTGGAGCCAGAGTTTGACAACAATGGCTGCTTGCCCGCAACTCAACGCTAAACCCTTCAGCCCCCTTCTCTCTCCGAACCCCGTTTCCACACGCACCCGGAAATTGGGTAGGATCAGCTGCTCCGCAGCCTCGCCTTCCAAACGCCACACCATCACTTTGCTTCCTGGCGATGGCATTGGCCCCGAAGTCATCTCCGTCGCCAGGAACGTTCTCAACCTCGCCGCCTCTATCGAAGGTTCCTTCAATTCCGTTTCGTTTCTTTATTTGTTCATTTTAAGTTCGATCTTGCTTGTTTGGTTTCCGAGAAAGGAAAGGAAAATAGAAACGGAAAAGGAAGGCCGTACTTGGATTTTCATTATGTCTTTTTTGGGTTCTCTTTAGTTCCTCTGTCCCTTACTTTCCCAACATTTCTCACTTATTACGTTAGTGCCTATAGTTTTCAGAGTTAGTGTTTAACAATAAAGCGCCTCTGTGTGTAATCAAGTAACTTTTGCTGGGAATTTGGTATTTATTTACTGTTTGCTATTTATATAACTGAATATATTTGTATAATTAGGGATTGAGTTCAAGTATCAAGAAGTTCCTGTGGGCGGAGCTGCATTGGATTTGACCGGAGTTCCATTACCGGAAGAGACCCTTTTGGCTGCTAAGCAATCTGATGCAGTTCTGCTTGGAGCAATTGGGGGGTAGATCTCACAATTCCTTTCTCATTACTTTTTTTTTCAGTATGCCGACATTTGCAAGTGGTGTAATTTTACTTAATTAGATTATTGGGTTTTAAGGTACAAATGGGACAAAAACGAAAAGCATTTGAAACCAGAAACTGGGTTACTTAAGCTTCGAGAAGGTCTTAAAGTATTTGCGAATTTGAGGCCTGCAACTGTTTTACCGCAGGTAATATCTGTTCTAATGCAAATGATTCAGAATTTTGTTTAGTGTACTTTTTTCGCTTTTCCTCTTAGTTGTTAGTTCTTAATTTAAATGCGCCATGGTACATTAGGATTGTGTTCAGAACATCAAACTGCAAATGATTGCATTGAAAAGTGGTGATTGACCCATATGAATTTTGATGTTTTTGTATGTAATATAATGATAATTGAGTAACTAAAGTGTACATAATTGATTTATTCTCTTAAAACCAATGTATCTTCATTTCAAACTTGTCTATGAAAAGTGTCTCATTTTATGGTATTTGCTCTTTCAGTTGGTGGATGCTTCAACTTTGAAGAGAGAGGTTGCTGAAGGGGTGGACCTTATGGTTGTAAGAGAGCTAACTGGAGGTTAGTATACGAGACTCGAATAGTAATCAATCAAATGAACTTTCTTGTGTTGGTTTTTTCCCACTTGAATTAACTATGATTCTTTCTTTTTTGTTGTTGCTGGGAATAGGTATATATTTTGGAAAGCCAAGGGGTTTTGGCACCAATGAAAACGGAGAGGAGATTGGCTTCAATACGGAGGTGTATGCCACCTATGAGGTTGTTTTCTGATTTCTCTGAGAGTTCCACATTAAATTCTTGGTTTTCTGATGATAGTGGGAGTCATTAGTGGTTCCAAATGGAGATTATATCTACTGTGGTTGTATATAAACTCAAAGAATTTATCTCTATACCCCACCCAGAAAAGTTATTGAAACTACCATTTTATCCTATACTCTTCAAAAAGCTAAAAGGTCAAAAGATTGGTGGCTGGTCACCAGTGCATAGCCTCGGCGCCATCGCTGACCATGGCTAGAGGGACAGGGGGGGAAATATTTTTCAAGAAAAAAGAGCCATTTTTTTTGGGGGTAAAACTACAGCCTGTAAAATCAGGATGTAATTTTACCCAAAAAAGAAATGGTGGGGTATAGATATAATTTTACCCAAAAAAAAGAAGCAATTTTCTGGGTTTAAACAGAGTCACTCTTATATTCTTTTATCTCTAATTCAAGCCTGTAGACTTTTCCTTGTAATATCAGTGGACTGATTTAGTCAGGAACAACTGAAATTCATAGTTGTTGTAAAAGTGTATTAAGGGGGATGCTTTTTTCTGTGAGAGTGAAAGTTTTGGTCTGCATTCAGAAAAATTAACTTCAATGTGACCAAGGATTAAGATATCGATATCAACAGATATGTCGGTGGTTCAGATTTATGGAAATATCGATAGATTTATTGATATCGTGAAAAACAAAAACTCACAAAAGTGTGCTTCGAAACATAGAAATTTCAAATGGAACTTGAGGATATGCGATAACAATCAATAATGCATAAATTAGGCACGCAAATTTTATAAATAGTTTATCCATGCTAAAGGTGAAGAAAGCTGGGAGAGGACCACCCATTTGGCTTACTGTTTGGCCTAATATTTTGTTCATATTTTATAATGGGTGGTGGGAGCTGGGTAAGGGGGTCTATAACATGAAACATAGTTTCTTGGTGTAAAACAAATATGCAAAATCCTTGTGAGTTTGTGTTGACTTTTCCCTGTGAAGAATTCACAAGCATTTTCATTGTATTGGGACTACTGGTAAATTATGACCAATATGGAACTTCTTAGTTGTAATGGGAACTTTAAAATTGCCAGGTCTGCTTGTAGTAAATTCTATTCAGAAGTTGTTTCGTTAGTTTTTCCTCCTTTTATAACTTTATAATTGCCAGGTCCGTGTGTCAATGGTTATTTAACATGGACAAATTTTCTTGGCAGATCGATCGCATTGCTCGTGTTGCGTTTGAGACTGCTCGCAAGCGGAAGGGAAAGCTCTGCAGTGTTGATAAAGCAAATGTGTTGGAGGTACTTTTTGTTAGAAGAAATTTTTTTTTTTTCTGCTCATTTCAATTTAAGGTTATTTGGGAAAATTGTGAGAATTTGTTTAAGATTTTTCCCAAAGAGAAGCATCAAACATTTTGTTGTGTTTATAACGGCATTACATGCTATGAGACTAGCGAGTCTTCTCTTCAACATCCTGATGCATAACCAGTATGTTGATTGTGTCTGATCTCTCCCCTAGAGATTACAAGAAATTTGGCATCTTGTCAGCAAAGATGACATGGTTTCTACACATGTGCATTTATGATTTTGTGGTTGAGTATTTCAGCTTAGTTTTTGGCTTGAGTTGTGAAAAGCATAAAAAATACCCAGTTGTGCCTCTTCAGTACTGTTTCGGTACTGTAAATAAAATCCTTTCACTTGTAAAAGAAATTTATGGGTGTTTAACCTGGCTTCTATATGCAGATGATGCTTGACCCGTACACTTTAACCTTTTTTTAACCTGGATGTTTGTTGATTAAGCGGCACCAAATATTTCATAATGATACACCATATATGGTAGCATCTGTGACACGTGTCTCTCTGTATATTGGCATATGTGGTTGCAAAGGAGGCTAAATAAGTTCTTGTGCTAAATTCATGCCAATCTAAAATCAATAAGTGCCGGAGATATTAATATATCTTATAATTATCAAATTACTGCTGAAAATGAGTAATCAAGCCAATGGCCTTTGGGCCTGATAACATCTCCTCCATCTTACAAAGGGTAAAGGGCGATGTCCAATTCCTTTTTAGTTTGTGTGACTGAAATAAAAACGAAAGGTAATTGATGATCCATTGACACTGCAGGCTAAATTTGGATTACTACAAATGTTGCCTGTGATATTTTGGGAAAAAATGCTTGCAAATATTGATCGGCTACTTGACAATATTGTTTCTGATGTATGCCTCTTGCTTTTTCTTCCGTGCAGGCATGCTTAAGATATAGTGTATGTTTATAATATTGATATATTTGATTCAATGGATATCCAGGCATCAATGTTTTGGAGGAAAAGAATCATGGCAATAGCCTTGGAATATCCTGACGTTGAACTCTCACACATGTATGTTGATAATGCTGCAATGCAGCTTGTTCGTGATCCAAAACAGGTTTGTCTAAGTCCGTTAGAATTATCCTTCTTTAATCCTAATAGGATCCAGAATATTGGACGAGAGGAACAAAATTGTAGAGCATCCTAAATGATAATTGCTAGTCTCATGATCTTTGCCAATGAAAATTTGCAGTTTGATACGATTGTAACAAACAACATATTTGGTGATATATTATCTGATGAGGCGTCGATGATTACTGGAAGTATTGGGATGCTTCCATCTGCTAGCCTTGGGGAATCAGTAATGCAAACTTTTGTCTCTCAGTGGTTCAAGTTCAGCTTTATATGTGTTAGGAATTTCCTTCTGATGGGGATTTCCGGCTGTGCCTTAAGTTTGGATTCCATTTTATCTAACTATATTAAAATTCCTGTTGGCACAGGGTCCTGGACTTTTTGAACCCATACATGGTTCTGCTCCTGATATTGCTGGACAGGTTGGTTTGCCTACATTATCATGTTTTTTTTTTCCTTGGAGTAACATGCCATTTAATATGTGGAATATAACGGAATAAATGCAGGATAAAGCAAATCCATTAGCAACAATTCTCAGTGCTGCTATGCTTTTAAAGTACGGTCTAGGGGAAGAAAATGCTGCCAAGAGAATTGAGGCTGCAGTTCTAGATACTTTGAATAAGGGGTTTCGAACGGGTGACATTTATTCGGCAGGAACTGTATGTACATTTTTTATTTCTCACTTCTTTATTTGTTTCTCTCTTTGGTTGGAAAACGTGATACCACAAAATATTGCAATGCTCTGCTCTTTTGTGAAAAACAAAAGAAGCTATGGAATGTATAGCATAAATTAGTTGTTGGCATCCCTATTTCCCATCTTCTACCTAAGTCCTCATCAAATAACAATTTGTTCTCTTAATCTCTTTGCATCCTTGTTAAAAGTCTTTGAGTAAGTAATGCAACTTCTCATGTTGTAATATTTTAAGTCGATGGTTTAGCCTATCTTGATGTTTGGTTTGATCATCTTACAATTGGGTGAGAACCATTGATTTAACTATCCTGGTTGGTAAACCAGCATTCCTTGGGTATGGTGTGCAATAGTTCCTTGAGGTGAAAAAGAAGGGAAAAAAGAAGTGAGAATAATATATATTTTATTAAGTTATGGGCTATTTGAAAATTCAATTGAAATTCTTGAGTCTAAATTTGTTTTTCATATATTTGTGCAGTAATAGTTGCCTACTTATCGGTGTAAGCTTCTCCTATTTTGATTGATTGACCATTGATGGCTAATATTGGCTTTATACAGAAGTTGGTAGGGTGCAAAGAAATGGGTGAAGAGGTATTGAAGTCGGTAGATTCGCTAGTTCCTTCTCCAATATGAAGTGATGCACGCATTGATCAGCACTGACAACAAGGGCTCAATATCGTTCAATGCATGATATCTGGAGTGAAGATGTCATTTTGGTCAGTTGAAAGCAAATCCAAAGATGTCATCCAGTATGATTTTCTTTTGTTCATAATTTGGAGGGCATCTTGAGGTGAAATAAGACCATTTTTGTAACTGTCCCAGAGATTTTATTTAATTTTAACCTTTTGACTTAGAATTATGTCCTAGACATTATCCTTGTTTAAAATATGCATGTCCATCAAGGGATTGTTGTAACTCGGAAACATTGTTGCCTAGAGTGGAGATTGAAAGACATTACATTTTGAAGCTTGTACGCTTTTTCCCGACTGGCAATACATATAACTCTTTTTTTAATTTTTATTATCTCCTCTGAATAGTAATTTTACTAAGTTATCACCTATTTAAAGGATTCATTCTTTATCCATAATGAAAATTACTTTAGAAATGCTCCCACACGAGCTGGTCGACTTTATCATGAGTTGAGGGTCATTTCCTAAAACTAAGATAATTTTTTTTTTTACTTTTGGAGAGATGCTAACAAATATAAATGTTATGATTGATGTATAAGAATCCACCCTTTCACTTAGAAATAAATAAATAACATGAAAAAGCCATTATTTCCTTAAACAAGTCAAATTTACATGCCAAACTTAATCTTATTGGGCTTCATTTGATGCGGGCGTAGTGATTTTACTTTGGCCTTTCTCAGGTTTAGGAGTTTGACATGAGAACTTGCCATAATGTGTCGATTGGGGCATGTTTGGTGTATTGCGGCTTCTTCTTTTTTTCTTTGTCCACTTTGGACTTGTACATAAGTTATCAACACTATAAATTACTTCAAAAAATTAAGAGAAGAAAGAATAATTATATATATAGAAAGGTATTCGGACAAAGAACTTGGCTATTTAAATTTTCATGGCACTTTAGCAGTGTGTGTGAGAAAAGCATGAGTGTAGAATTGATTACATAGAATCAATAAAAATGAATTTTGAATAGTGTAGTATTTGTCAATCTTCTCCTAAAAATCAGTGCACAAATACATTGTAATTTATCTGTAAAGAACATAGTTTATCTAATGAATGTAATTGCATATTTCTCCCTTCACCATGGATTTATGTGTCAAACATTCATATTCATGCAAATTGGATATGAAAGTTGCATTTCAAGACTGCATTGTTGTACTTCCACAGTTTTATGTTGAAGTGCAAATATCTCTTTCATACTTAATATAAAATTCTCATTTAAGATAACGTAAAAATTTTCTTTTAATTCACCTGCAAATCAGTGGTCTCATGTTCAGATTTTCATGACACTTTGTTAGTGTTTGTGTAAGAAAACCCCCTCTTTCCCTTCTTAACTTTGACAATGACAAAAAAAGGCATATTTATTTGAAAATACCCAAATCTTTTGATATTGTACATTATGTCAAAATAAAATGGGGTCAATCGCAAAAGGCATATTTGAATTATGAGAAGAACTTCAATTTAGTATCAGACCAAGATTAGTTTGTAAAATACAAGCACTTTTGAATTACAGGGGCAAACTTCAATTGTATCAAATCTAGACATTCTTTGAATGTCAAACTCAAAGGTTAAAAGTGGTTTCAATGTACATTTTTTGTCACTTATGCAGACGCTTGATAAAAATAAGAACTATATAAAACTCGGATTTTTACATGGAGAATAATTTTTATTAGTTAAATGTAAAAAGGATATGAAGGATGTACTCACTTTGTAACCGAGTTCAAATTTCCCTTAATTTAGAGTAAATTAAAATAGAATATCATTTGTATAAAAAAGAATATGAATAATAATAAAATTAATTAAGGAAAGAAGGATACAAAAAAAATTATAAGGTAAAAAAACAAGCTCTAAACTTTTTTTTTTTTTTTTTTTTTAAATTTTGAAAAACAATTAATTTTACATGTAACACATTTAAAACATCTAAGAAAAAATCTATATATAGATTGGACTCCAGACTACATATATAGATAGAGCGCCAGCCCAAAAATCTCCCGCTAAACTGAAGACTCTGTCATCTCTATTACTTCCATGTCACCGAGTTCGAGCACGGCACATGCCGGAGCCTCGCCCGGCGAGGTTTTCAGGTCGCAGCCGGCCATTATCTCCGGCGATCCCAGTGACTCCTCATATTCGTCGTCTTCCTCAATCTCCAACATCACGCAGGCCTTTCCTTTCTCTTCTGGAAACCCTAGAATCGAAGAGACCAGAGGCATCATGCTTCTCTACCGCGATGACGCCGACGTTGTTTCCACCTCGCCCTCTCACCTCCCCGTAAGCTTATTTCCTTTCATTTCATTTCATCTTGACTGCCCTTTCTGTTGTGTCTTTCGATGTGCTAAGTAATGTTTCGGCCCTAAACTTAGTAAAATTAAAGTGTTAATATCAAATTTAAGGGAATGTTTTGCATTTTCAGTTCATTGAAAAAAATGCATGGAAATTGGTAGAATTGGGCGTTTACTGGATTTGTGTTCGTCCATTATGAAGCAAAATTTAAGGAAATTTTAACAGTAAATAAAATGTTTCTCAGCATCCAGTAATGTGGAGATGATTTTGCGAAGAAAATGATAGGAAAATAGTAAGTAGCACTTATGTTAAAGTTTCTTTAACAATACAAAGTATATTCTTATCCTATGAACTCCATATTTGACGACTACAAAGAGCATTAAAAAGATCCCTTTCTAGGGAGGTTATTATTGAAAGGACCAAACTTGTTCCTTTCTAAGAATTGATTTTTTTGGCTAGTCAAAGTCTAAATTGATTTTCCAATTGTTCAAGAGGTGTTGAACTTTGGTAACCTCTTCCAACAAATTTATTGTTCCGGAGTCTTTAAAAATGTCGAAGTTTGTTAGATGTAATTGAAGAACCTGGGGTAAAGCAAAAACGACAATGCAAGATTGATGTGGATGTCCATTTTATGTAGGTTGGAAGGAAGCCACTTGTTTGTGTGCTTGGAGTGCCAAATCACATGACATATGCAGACTTTTGCCAGTTTTGTGGTTCATTCATTCAGCATATTTTGGAGATGCGGATTGTCAGGTTTCATCTTTGAAAGTTTTGTCATTTCTGATCCTGTATTTCCTTTTGTTGTGTTGTTGAATTTAATCTTGATGTTATTTTCTTGTTTGTGGTTTAGGAATGATGGAATGGAAGATCGATACAGCATTTTGATTAGGTTTGATAGTCAGGACTCCACAGATGATTTTTACAAGCATTTCAATGGAAGCCGATTTTCGTCGCTTGAGGTTTTCTCCACTAACTCCATACTCTATACCCATAGACATTAGATACATAGACCCTTGACTTGGGAGGACTTGTACAAATTTTCAACAGTTACAACAGTTTTAAGCTTTTATTGTTGTCGTCCTATTTATTATCTGGGATTTAATATAGGTGGAGGCTTGTCGCATTCTCTTCACGGTAGATGTTCAATACACTGGTTCAATAGAACATGCACAGGCATCATCGGGAAGCTCAACCGAGCAGCCATCATGTCCAGTCTGCCTTGGTATGCACTTATCTATGTGAAAATTTAAGTTGTATATTTATGGTTTACTTTTTGTTTTTCCTTTTGTCTTTAATGTTTGGAGATTTCTTACTTAACCTTATTTTACAGAGAGACTAGACCAAGATATGGGTGGAATTCTCACGACTATCTGCAATCATTCTTTTCATTGTTCTTGCATTTCAAAATGGACGGATTCTTCTTGTCCTGTAAGTAATTTTTGCAAGTGTTTCAACTTTTTTCTCCCTTTAGATTTGTGTACATGTGTATACGTGTGTGAACAGGCATAAATGCATGTACAAGACCATGTTCAGAAGTTAGCGCACTAAATTGATTGGACTCCTCTTTTTTTTCCCCTTCCCTCTCCCTAGCATGCTCTATCACATGCTTGTTTATAATATTGTGAGACTCGGGCACCACCTTATGTACAAAGTGATAGAACTCAATCAAAGTGATTGGACTCTAGATTGTGTTTGATTCATGGAAGTGGAGAAAGATGTCTGTATCCAAATCTCCTCTCCCAGGGTAGTTGGACCAACGCTAGGTCACCTGTTGCAATTAGTTGTTTCTACAAAAGGACTGTAATTGGTGAAAATTTAATCTATGGATCTTAAAGGGGTAGTTTCGAGCAGAAAATAGGACAATCTACTGATGTAGACAATAGTCCATCATATTGCTTTTGGATGAAATGGTTTCTATCTTCGAAGATAAATATGTTTTTCTTTCTTTCTTTTTCTGCTCCGCAGTAGTACTGTAGTAGACATGACAGCCATGCTAATGGGAAAATTTGTCTTTGTATCAGTGCCTCTGCAATTAGACTATCTTTTTTCAGGTCATCTACCCTCTTCAACCCTCTTTACTGGGGTTAAAAAGAAAAAACTTAGAGCTGCCCACCCTGATTTCACATCTAGAATCGCTTTTGTTGCATCAGACCGTGAACAGTCAAGGAAAAAATCAATTAAGTAATATAGTAGGAAAGTTATAACATACAAACTTGAATTTCAAGGTCATGCATGAATTCTTTGAGAGTTTATCCGTTTATATCACAATATCAATTTTCCACCTGTGCTGGGTGTTTATTCCCCACTTATGGTTAGCCCTCTTATTATTGATAAATGATTAAGCAAGAAGTGCAGAGGGGATGGAGACCTAGTACATGATTACAAAGAATCATTCACAAAAATAAAAGGGGAGACTAGGGAAAATAAAAGAGAGCAAAACATGAACAAAAGGAAAACATGACACTAAGACCCTATAATTCAAAGTTTGAACTGAGCTTAAAAAGAAACCAAAGCCATGATAGAGCAGTTAAAAGCCAAAAAAAGAAAGCACGTTAAGGTAACTCTCATATTCTAATACGTTGTCATAATACCTAGTATAAATTTTCTCATTTGTGATAAATAAAACTTACAAATGTGCCTATTGACGGAATACATCTAAGTTCTTTGAATGCGTAAGAGGTGGTGAACCTAGGTTACCAGTTCTCTTTGGTCAACCTATGGTTAAGCTGCAGTCTATGATTTGGCTACAGCTTTTGTTCTTCAAATTTGTTACATTCACTTTCCTGCTAGCGTTAGCTAGGTTGCGGCTAAAGAGTTGCAAATGACTTTGCAAGGTAGGTCCTTAATATTCATTGACTTGTCTACCACATGTTATGTCAGGTATGTCGATATTGTCAGCAGCAGCCTGAAAAGTCTAACTGTTTTGTTTGCCAAACTTCTGAGAATTTGTGGATGTGTGTTATCTGTGGCTTTGTTGGCTGTGGGAGGTATATTATTTGACCATTTA